AAAGAATGATTGTTGCACAACAGTAAGCACTGACAGGTGGCAGTACTACAGATCCGCCGCTTCCGGCCTCGTTGGCACGATAATTACCTCAGTCCACTACTTAAGTCCAGTTGCCCAGTGTCAAACATGCGGTTTTCCAACCATTGTTCGCATTGTTTTACAATTGTCTAAGACGTAGCATGGCTGTCATCCAAGTGCTCAACCGATTATCCATACCGCTGCTGTGATCATAAGCTATTTGGTAAAGATCTGCATCGTATTTCTCGAGTGCAGCCATTCGGTGCTCCTAAAACGATTGTCCCTACGCGCCGATCCCTTTCCGATGTAATACACTAAGACACTAACGTACCACTCCCGTTGGGCCAAACCTTTTTCTTAGTCTATCCAGAATATTGGGCATGTCCAATTCAACTTCTGGTAAGCGTCTCTACGCTTCTGTCTTCAAGCCGCTTGGTACTTGCGTTTTCATAAGCTCCGGTAAACAGTATGACGGATGAAAAACGGGAAATATAACCGCTCACTCTCATTACTAACTAGAGGAGCGGAACATGAACTGTCGACATCATGAAAATCACTAATGGGTTAATTGTCGGGAGTGTTCACTTGCTACAGAATTTCCAGGGCAATTTTTCTTCGGATGCATAGTCCCACCTGGTTACACAAGGGACCATCGTTGAGCCTTGTGTTCAAAATGTCAAACTTTACACTTTATGCGTACTGTAAGCGGCCAAGCGCTGGTAAACTTTTGATTCAAGCGTATCCATCGAACTGGAAACATACTCCATAATTTGCCATCCTAACATTGATCCGTGTCAACAACACAATTCCCTTGGAAACTCCGCGCGCACGTCAAATAAGAATGAACTCATGGATGGACTGAACCATTATCCTGCGATGCACTGACTCTCTAAGCGTCGTGCTACATAACACGAGGAACCAACATTTTAACAGAATACCGAATTTATCAATTGCTGATGTCGGTAGCTTTCTTCGGAGTCAAGTACCCAATGCTACATTGGTTATGATTCTACCTTAATATTCACTCTCAGATATTAACCTTAGGTGATTACCAAACATTTCACGTCCAATCATCATTGTGCTCGGTGCAACAATCTCCCTACTTTCCGTCAAACATACCAGTATGATCATTAAACATGATATTTGTAAATAATTTTAAGATCACCTGTAATTTCAGAAAAGCTGAACTTCAGAATATATCACGCATTCAGTATGATCTTTATTCCCTTGAAATATGGTGTGACAAGTGGTTACTAAAGTGCACAGCAGAAAAACCAGGATTATACGTCGTGGTTGTTTGACAATCGAAGGTTCTATCACACGCAACAAAGAATGCCTTTGTTTAAAACTCTATGCAAGATCTCGGAATCAGATATTTCTGCACTTTGACATTTTATGAGCAGTTTAAGTACTAGATAGCACGGGTCGGATAAACTGTGGCTTATTTATCTTACAAGATGCAAACAATCTCAGTCAGAGTTGAATATTTTAGAATGCAAACTCATCCCATCCTGAGATATTGCAGCATAATTTGTGGCAGTATGAAAGGAATCTGACAAAAACGCTGTGTAAAACCCACAGCTGTCGTTCGCCGAACGCCTATTAGGCCCAAGTGCTTCCAATAAGTATCTAGAGCAATGCGAGTAACGACATCTCGGTCCGCTATGGCTGTGAGGATTATAGCATAACTTGATACTCCTTTACAATCTGATTCACAACAACTCCTACTGAAATCTATCTATATTAACATTGCAATACATTTCCAATCGAAATCTCCTTAATAAAGATTTTGCGCTGAGTATATCAAGATGCAGAACTAACCTGTGGTCAAACATTTCGCATCAGATATGTCGCCCTGTAGAATCAGCTCGCAATCAAAAGTAAGGTTGTGGGAGTGCGCAATCATATCGCAATAAGCTCGAAAGCTACCTCAAGCTGGACACGATTATGACATTATTGTCATGGAGATGATCGGCTACAGGTCTACTTATGAAGGGTCCAAATGACATGTAATGGGTGAAGTATGGGAAATTCACGGAATTCAAGTAGTTCTCATTGTCTACAATATCCGCGAAGCCCAACTATGTCATACACTATAAGGTTCGACACAAACACGCAAATCATATACATTGGCAGGAATACATACAGAGACAAGCACACAACTGCATATCACTCACGCAAAAGCCTAGTAATGCCTGTACAAATTTCATATTTGTCTACAATGAACGTAGCTACTCACTTACTGTGAAACGCCTATTATTATTATTATTAACGTGGCGTTACTACTGTAGTTATCTAAATTAAACGTCGATGAAAAGACTGATAAGACTGATACTCTCTGCTAAACATGAAGATGTACTAAAGTGTAGCACAGTAATCTGTATGCGTACACATGAAATGCCTCGCTTATTGTTGTTCCGGCAGTGTAGATACACAGCACTTCTAGTACATAAGTTTGAGCGTGATAATAAACAAAGCGACTAATGTTTCATATTAGGTTTCCCCTCTGCATGACAAGTTTTCGCTGAAGTATGCATGGTTCGATGAAACAAAGCACGATGCAAGCATTAAAATAACCGTACATTTCTAATATCATGAGCGAAAGGATATATGCTTCTTTTAATAAGTATGACCGTTAAATTTTTCCTATTAGTCCTTGGATCCAAGATGTTATCAAGAGTTTTGAGGTACTCTTGACCGATTACACATCCAGCAACTCTAACACGAGCCATGGTAAATGTAACTATTGCATAAGGGAAAAAACGCATTGCTTCCGTAACGCACAATTTTCTTGTCTTGGCTTGCGTAGATTTCCAAGCAACGTATTTAGTATGTTCAACTGAATTGCTTAGGTGCAACGGACATTAGGAGTTCTAGCGGAAACGCTTAGACAACCAATAAACCGATAGTGAGTCCACGGCACATAATGACTGATGTTAATTTACATTCAGGAAATGGCAAACAGCAAACCAATACAATGCTTTCTCTTAATGGGTCGCCCATACAGACGGCGAAGTACATCTGTAACTCAGAAAGATTGTTTCGCAATCCAGCCTGAAATAAGATGGAATCTGTTTTGTTTTACGCAACATCGGTTTCACACAATCTGATAACGGTATACAAGTGTCTGGTCTTCCGCCACTTATCTGGATAATAGCTGCCTTTTCCTAAGCAAACCAAAGTTCAGTATGATGGATGAACAGTGGGGAATGTAGCTACACTCACTATCGTGACTAATATGTGAAACAGAACATGTGGGATCAACATCGGTATGTTAATCGCTAGTCAGTTACTTGCCGAGATTGTTCAGTTTACACGGACGAGCAAACGCGTGAACACTTGCAACGAAAGTTGCTGGGCCTTGAACTCCAAAATTCCAAACTGCATTCCAAAGCGAGGGAGCGTTGGGCTCCCGGGATAATTGTTGATCACTACACTCAGTTCTTCAATCGAATGCACGAACAGATGTGGAATATTGTAAGCGGCAAGCGCTTGGTAGCCAGGAGGGAACGCAGCCCATTCACGCTAATGGCGTCACCACTGGTCAAATTTGAGTATCGGTATATCAAGATATAGGTTCATCAACTAAACTTAGATAGCTAAGACTTAATTTTCCTGAAGCGCTATCGGTGTCAATATCTAGATGAGTTGGAGCGCCTAAATGATAAATCTCAAATGTGCATTCATACGGTTAACCCTTTCGGTGATTGCAAGTACCTACAACAGTGACGTCATGAGTGCTATGGGTCATTCGAAATACCCGATGGGCGGTTAAACCACCTGGGATAGAGATGGCTGTTGCTATCGGTAATCGGTATATGTTGTTCTCCGTCATTCTTTTTCCATTAGACACGACGGCTTGGCATGGCCGCGTTTCGGCCATAGCCTCCGACTATACACAAGAGAGACCAAGAGATCACAACACGAATTTTTATCTCGCTCGCTCCCTGAGTTTAAAAACTATGTGGCGAATGAAACAATCACCCATTCTGATGACAGGCGAATCAATCTTAAGGCACCTCGACTCACTCGTTAGCCCAGGTGTCCCAGACAACACTGCCTTGCGCGATTTTTGAATTCATTGCATCTAAACTTAGCATCCCTACATTCGTTAAATCCAGTCTAAAATAACTGGATAAGGGAAAAGGTGCAGACACGACTTAAACTGCCAAGGCACCGGTGGTCGAATGTAACATGGCTCCTTATGTCTGTCGATCTGATGGGCCAGGTTCGGCAACCGTAGAAGGTTGAACGGATGGTTGCATGGTAAACTTTGCGCTTAAGGGCGAGAGTAATGTCACGTCAGTATCACAGGTGGAGCAGACTTAGAGCACTGAGGACAATTTACTAAAGGGGATCAGAAAACGCCAACTAAATTTTATATTGAATGAATAAGCGATGTAAAGGTACACTTGTACCTGCGGTTTCAGAAGGGCCATGTAAGTAAAACCCAATTTTATCATAGGTGAGCTTGTGAGTTTATCCAACAGGGAATGATACATGTCAGGGAAGGGGCGACCAATGGGAAGATTAAATTGTCATGTCATTCACCGGCTCTTTTGTACGTCCCATCATAGTTCGACAACTTAAATCGGACAACTTTTTAGGAATATTCTCCAGCAAATGACTGACGCAATTAAAATAAGTCCTCCACAATTCCATGTAAAACAGGTTATGTTACTAAGATGACAACCGTATAAGTGGCTGTGCGCAACACGAACTAGAAGAGCAGCGAAAGTATAAAAGCATCGCACACGAAAATAGTCGGTATATGTATGCTGAATTCAGAGTCCGTTAGCATGATGCAGCTATCCGATGGTAAACACTTAGTATTTGTGACGGAGGAGAGAAACACACACGTTGGCAAATTAGTTGCGGTGGTTAGTAAACCAGGAAATCGATGTCGATCGCGGTATGTGAGTGCATACGAGCGAGTTAAAATCGTCTAATCGCAGAGAAATTAACTCGCGAAATATACATACCATATACGGGGGTTTTCCCAGGTAAAACCACCACGATGAGTTGCAGCCCAGCATGCGTATTCTTCAAATATCGGAACATGGGTTCCACTTGGTCCTGCCCCGTGGCGTATTTGCAAAAGCATGGTTGTCCGAGAATAGGCATTCCAGCGTCATTAGAAATTTTTTGTAGTTGCATCGTAAATAATCTGGAGAAGTGAAGATACGTAATGGACATAGAAAGCGTGGAAAAGCAAAAAATTGTGAATTCAATCAAGAGGAGTAGGATGTTTAACGTTTGGGCAGAGTGGGAATCTGGAGGAAAACGGATATGCCTTTGCACTCAGGTAAGCGATCAAACATGACAAAGTGGATTGGTGAGATGCACGGGTGACATAATCTATGGGGTGGCACAAATACTCGACTGACTGTTGCCCTACACCACCAGATTATTGAGCTCGAATATCAGACACCTCTCCTGATACAACTGATTGGTACAGAGTGCTCAGGATGGTATAACGCGAAGAACTGATGCGCAATGCGAACTGCGAATGCATCGTCATCTCATTCAGAGGAGAGAAAAAATTGTAAAAACAAGGACAGACGACATATACGCGCATTCACTGAGGAAGCAGGTTAGGGATTAAAAACGGCTAAACGAAAATGACCAGGATAGAGTTCTCTACCGTGTAGGATTTGGAAATTCTGCCTTAACAATTTAGGTCACTTTTCCAAAATGCCGAGGTAATCAACTCGTGGGTTCTGTTCAAAAATCGTTGGAAACGCGGTAACTGTCCTTATGTGCTTTGCTTGCCGCGCTAGATTACATATTTCGTCGTTGAATTAGCTGCCGATGCCTACCGTCTTTGTGTTCCATTCAACAAATTCAACAAATTTTGTGCAACGGTTGTCGCAGTCTAAGGCAGCCAGAGAAACATATAACACCTACTGATGTAGATCGCAGTCAAAAAATGTTTAACTGCGAGCAGCTCTGGACATACTGTCACGCCAAGCGGCATAGACTCCATCCGAGATCCGGCCAAGCCTTCCTCGCATCACCTCTGACAACGGATAACCTAACCATCCTAATCTCTAAAGAAAGATGACACCAACTGGGGCTAGTGATTCACAGAATTTGCGCTCTGTTAGCTCTAAAGACCCAGATGAAATGAGTGATTGAAGATCTAAGGAAAACTCAACGACGGAGGAAGTTGCGAAACAAAGAGAATCTTCCTGTCGCTGATCAACAACAAGCAGGTGAAGAAAGGGTCGAGGTCAAACTCCTATAGCAGGAACCGGTTCGACTGATAAAAGACGATCTAAACTGATGATTTTTCACGAGCCTTAGTCCACCGATCCAAGTCCTCAGACACTCACTGATTACGACGTTGAGTTTTGTTACATAGCCTTGGACGTGGGCGAGGACGGAGTGAAAGTGAGGCAAGCCATTCGCCTCGGCAAAAACACTACTGTTGAGAACGACAGACCCATGCCGATGAGCCTAAGCCTGAAACCGATAATGTGTCTCGGTTGAGGAGACTGAGAGGCGATGGAGTGTGCATATTTGCCCGGGTACGGATCCATTTGATCGAGAGCACCACGAGTGTGTCATCATCGAGCTAAAGCGGCGAACTGGTGGGGGAGAAATAAACCTACGTATTGTAAATTTTCGAGTGATTACAACATGAAGGTGAATTCCGTGAAATCAGTCTCTCACTCGTCAGATGCGCCCGGTCGTTTCTACTGCGGTCTGCGCGTAGCTTTGCCAACGTCTGCAGTGGTATGGACAAGTATGATGACTTGTGCCGCTTGGTTGTTTTCGAGCGACCAGATGCACTGGGACTAGCAGAGACGTAGTTATACGATGAGGTACTCACCCCAAAAGTTGGACTTAATGGCTACTCGTGCTTCCGCTGTGATAGGCTATCGAATTCCCGCGGTGACCGCATTTCTCTACATCCTGTCTTCGCTGTGTGAGACTTGTGAGTGTTCAAGGAAGCGAAGATAGCCTATATTAGCAGTTGTGGTGTTCGATCTACCTCAGGCGCGAAGACCTACCCGTGGGTGTATTTCATCGTAGACTCCTGATCCACTGTTTGGATTGGTTGCCGCATCTCCGGGACCACATGAGCCACCCCAGTTTCTACTTTTAAGTGATTTCAAGTGCACTCGAAGACTTTGACTTGAAGTTCAACTTATCACCAAGTATTGTGAGGCAGAAGCGAAGTTCCCTGATATGGTATATAAAACTGGCATAGCACAACACACACAACACATCCGCACGTAACACCGCGCTTAACTCCATCGTGCTTAAACTTGATGAGAACAACATATCTATGACATTCGGATCCTGGAGCCTCTGGAGGCAAGCGACCACTAATTCCTCATTGCCAACATAAACTTACCGGTGCAGCAATCCTATGCAATGCAGCTAGCTTATAACTAATGTAAGACGGATTTCGACAGTATGACCGGGGCCGCCAGCTAAGTGGATTGGTTTCTGCCGCAATACACATCAGTTGAAGCTTGCTGATTAGCTATAACGAATGGAGTAAACTAAATGTATAACCGGTTTGTGCCTCTAAAGCGCCAGAAAGTCGGACCGGTCAAATTACATTAGTTGGTACGGAAATACGGTGAATTTGTCGGGGAGGGGGGCGCAAACTGTGGGACAAATCCCTTATCCCTATCTCGGTTGATTACGATATATATATATATATATATATATATATATATATATATATATGAGAACAGACAAATGTGCCACCAGAACCATGACTGTAATGGTATGGAAAAGTGATCGTTCAGAAAACAAAGGGAAACGGCTTTAGTCTCTTTTCTTTTCATTTGTAATGCCTCACACGCCGTTGTTAGACTTTGTTTGTTTGTTAAAGTTTGAAATGTTGATGAAAGGGAAAGATTGGAACCGCACTGACGCCACTGATTTCGGTTACGAGCCATAGCCTCCAAAACTTCCGAGCATTTGGAGCTCCCATCATATGGTCCCCAACCTGGAAGACGGACAGATCCTGTGGATGCCAAACATGAGGTGAAATTCTTGAGGTTGATTTTCCACGTCATCGGCTGTTCACCTCGGCATTTTCTCCACTCACGCCCGGGAATTGCAAGTAATGATCGATAAGGGAGGCGGTTTGCTGGCATGCGCAGAACGTGACCGAGCCAATGCAAGTGGTGTTCGAAAGTAATGCCCTGGAAGCTGAGATTGTTCGCGCCGAGTACTCGACCTCTAACTTCGAGTTGCTTAAATGGTGTTGCCATCACATACGAGCGATCGTTCGTAAGCAGCAGTTGTCGAAAGAGGACAATCGTTGCAGATCTTCTGCGCGAACAGGCCAGGTCTCGCAGTTGTACAGCAGGACCGCACGGACAGTGGCACTGTACACTCTGCCTTTGAGCCTTAGACTGATGTCCTAGCGGCCCCACAAATGTCTCAGGTTAGTGAACGCCAGGCGGGACTTAGCGATTCGCTGAGGCACTTCATCTCCAATACCGTCACCCGCCGTGATACAACTCCCGAGATAAATGAAGCGATTCACTTGCTACAGGCAATCACCTGCAATTGTGAGTGTTGACACTGACACTTACCAATCACAGAACAAGGTTTTACACTTGGATGTGGCAATATACAAACCATAGTTAGATGCCTCGATCGCTAATAGGTTCAAAACGTTTCGGATGGCCTGTGGGTTGTCCACCAGCAAAACGATGTCATCAGCATACTCCAGATCTGAGACTCTGTCCCCGAGGAGGAGCTCAACGTCGCAGTTCTCGGTTCAATCCAGAGCGCGGTGGAGAACAACATGGATGGTAAAGTTGAATAGGAATAGTGAGATAGAGCAACCGCGGCGTACTTCGCTGGTAACAGCAGAAGAAAAAGGAAGCCCTCCATAGGCTGTGACTTTGCCCGATGTGTGACGATAGTGTTCTTTAAGGAATGTAACAAATGTGTTGAGTACACTGCTCCTTAGCAGACAGTTCCAAAGAGATGTTCTATCTATGGAGTCAAAGGCGTCTCTGATGGCGAAAGTTCAGGTTGGATAGGTAAAGTTGGTTGTCAGAGCATAGGCCTTACTCCAGTACCCGAGCGAACGTTATCGTATCCATGCGGACCTCCGAGATGGCGTTCGCTTGGTAGTAAACGACCAACACGAGCATCGAAATCACTCGCCATAACAGTAATGTCCGTTTTGGGGCCCTTAGAAACAGGTTATAAAGGTTCTGATAGAATAGGTCTTTGATTGTATCCGGGTTACAATCAGTGGGCACATAGACGAAGAGAACAAAAAGAGCGCGTTTGTTTTCTCGATATCTGTTAACTCTGGACGAGTCTTGCAGCCGCATAGCGCAGAGGCGAGGGGGCCTCGGTTCTGGAACTAAGGGCAATCCCAACAACAGTTTGCCCAACTGAAGTGGACTCGGCGTAGTCAGAAAGGCGAAGAAGGAAACGAGTGTATGGGTGAACGGTTGTAGACAGTTGGTAGACCGTGTTGGGGTCGGATTTCCGATAATCAACATACATCTATTGCAAGAGATTCCACGGTGCGTGCGAGACCGGTTTGTCCGATCTGCTTTACAGTACGCACGTTGAACGCTCCCCAGTTGAACTATGTTTTGGGTTGAAGATGCGGAGAGGGGGATCACGGGATTGTCTTACCTCGGTTTGGAGGTGTGTGATTGGTATAGCGACAGTTTCATCAGATAGCGCGATGCTGTTCATAGACGAGGAATTAGAAGAAAGCGGGGGAGGATGTTACAGAGAAATTGTAGATAAGTAGGTGGCGGGTGATTGAGAAGTAATAATAGCAGTAGCAGAAGAGCAATCCATTAGCAGAGCGAGCGAGTGTAGTTCAATTCAGTTCCATGGTTCCTTACTAGATGAAATACTACCCGGGTGCCTAGGTCGAAGTAGGGGGTTTCCTTAGGAGATCGCCACCCCGAGCCTTCAGCCGAAGGGCCTAACCACCCACAAGACAGTGGGGCGATAGGAGGGACTCGCGCCCGTTTGGATCAGGTGACCAATTTCTTGTTTCATGCGCCTTTCGTTTGGTAACTCACAAAACATGGGTCCAATATTACGAAGTGCATAAAAAGTAGCAAAGTGTTGGTAGCAATTCGAAAACGAGCAAGCATCGGCATTTCGAAGAGCAGTGTGCAACCGCCGCAAAGACTGCCCGAAGAGAATCTCTGT